TTTGACCATTCCCCGTGTCATGTCACGTCACCTTCAATGTAAATTCAGTTTTTTCCCAATACACCTACATCTACACCTTTTTCTAGTTCAATCACTCTTCAGATTAAACTCGTTGAACATCCAGCTTTTGCAAGATGTGTAATCCTCTTTTGATTAATAATATCAATATTTCGATAAGCAGGAAGAAATTTCACTTCCTTATCATTCAATAATTCATGGTTGTGGACATTATCAAAATACACCACCATCCAACGAGTGACTTTATCAATAATTTCTCTAGCAACACACATCTTAGCATTACAATTGCATCTAGAAGATTTTCGATCTCGTTGTAATTCTTTTTCCACAACCTTTTGAGGACGAGGGGTACTGGCTCGATGGAAAACATAATCTCTCCTATAAATTCCCACAGGACCTTCTGCACTTCCAAAGTAGCGATCGCGTCTAACTAAGAAACCAATTTGTTTAGCAAAATTTACATAGCAATTATAAGTTTCGTCATCACTATTGAACACTTTGCCCTTGTACAAGTCACTGTTATCCATGTCAATATTTTTATGTCTAAGTTCTTCATCTGATCTTTCAGTAATTTCTCCATTAATATAGCATTTACTATCACCACATGGACAATGACTTCTTGAAACACCTACTGTAAAATCAATTGAAGTATTATTAAGAACCTGTATTTAAAGCCAACAAAAGTACAAAATTTATCAACACAGATTGTTTGATTTAGAACAAGGATAAATAAAATAGGAAGGCATAAACAAATCGAAAAGATTAAAAAAAAAATACAAAAACTTACACTCAATCATGAACAGCGAAAGATGAGACACAAGAATATTAAATTCTTACCTTCATTACAAGATATTAGCGAGAAAAGTTACTGGAACAAAAAACTCTTTTAAAACTTGGGAAGAACCATGGCTAGAGGTGGAAAATAGAATGAAAATATTCCCGCTAGAACAGTTCTAAAATGGAAGATGGAGAGATCTAATCTTATGGGTTTAGTTTTTAGGGACATTGTGGGATTTGGGGAAAGGACAAAAAAGCCCTTCATCTTAATGTGGTGGCCCTCAAATAATGAGGGCATTTTTGTGAAATCAAATATGCATATAATGCTAACCCACTATGTAGTAGGTTAGCAAAACCCATATATATATTATTTTGAGAGTGACTCCATTCTAGTATCATTTTCTACCGTTCACAATGAATCACTTAAGTGGGCGTTTGGACATAAGAATTTTAAAATTTCAAAAAAAAAGTAAAAATAAAATTCCAGTAAAAATGATATTTGAAAATTAGAGTTGTGTTTGGACATAAATATAATTTTGGATTATTTTTGAAGTTTATGAATGATCTAAGTGAAAATTTTTAAAAATAGTTTTTTGGAGTTTTTAAAATTTTCAAAAATTTTCAAACTCATCTTTAAGTGAAAATTAAAATTTTATGGTCAAATATTGATTTCGGAAAAAAATAAAAAATTCTTATATCTAAACGGGCTCTAAGGCCTCATTTATTCCACTTAATAAGGGTCTGAATCCGAATGAATCAAATCTTAGCCCATTAAGTATACTTGTTTTTTTATTTTTAAAAAGTCTGATTAGGTCTGATTGGGTCTGATTTAATTGAGTCTTAATTCCGTTCAGAGTTAAAAATACCGAAAATACACGCCTCTTTTTTCTCTCTCTTGACATCAGGCTATTTCTTCTAAACCCAAAACAAATTTCATCCTTCACACGTCTCTCTCGCAACCGCCGTTTTTTTCTGGGTAAGATTTTGAAAATTATACTTGGAATTCTCCATCTTGTTTCCACTTTTCTAATGGTAAATTTCAGTTTCGAGTTTAGGGTTCAAAAAAAACCCTTTTAAAATACGATTGAGAAGGGGCTAAACTAGAAGGTTTTGCTTGCCTCTTTTTTGTGTCTTGTTCTCACTTTTGGATATTCTATTTTGATTGAATCTCTGAATTTTCTGTAATTTTTCTTGATTTTGTTGACATCCCGATTCTCTAAATCGTAAATCTTAATTGGGACGTGTTCTAAATTGTTAGCAATGTTTTTTTCTCTTTTGCAGATTCACATAGTCCCTTTTGAACGTTCTTTTGTTTTCTTCAAGAATTGCATATTAGTGACTGAAATTCAATTTCTCTAGTTGAAATATAAACCGTAATTGGTGTTTATGAAGCTCGTCCAAAATTAAGAAACTTTGCTATGGCTAGAATTCGGATAATGAAGTTCTGTGTTGTTGAAATTAGAGCCGCTATAGTTTCATATTTGGCTAGAATTCGGATAATGTATACATAAGTAAGATTTATATTTCAGTGCTTTCTGAATATTTGTGTGCTATTGCTCTTGAATTATTCGTCATATGTTACATGTTTTATAATTGAACCATGCTTTCTTTTGTTTATTCAAGAATTGCTTCTTTACTTCCTCAATTTTTTTCCTATTTTGTGTTTAAGATCATACCATTTACTACATCTTTGCAATCTTCAAACAGATTATTTGCTTAGAAATATACAACTTATCTTCATGGGTGGCTCAAGGGTGAGGCTAGTAAAGCCTTCGCTTTAGGCCCCAAAAATTTTGAGGCCCCAAAAAGTGTTGTAAAATATGTAATAATATTTTGACTTAGACAATTCTGAACTTTGTAGAAAAAAGTATAAAATCCGTGTAAAAAAGGTTTTAAAAAAACAAAGAATATTTACTTTTTAACATAAGAAATATTCTAGATCTTCAAATTAAACTACTCAAATCTTTGTATTAGCAAATAAAGTTTTTTACATCGAGATCTACGGTAATGCATTGCAAACATATGGCTAACATCTTACTAATTTGAATTAACACTTGATAATATAAATAGTAATATTACTAAATGAAGCTAAAAGTCATATATCTTGTATGAATATTTTACGTTCAAAATATTTTTTTGGTTACATTTCGTTACTACAATTGTTGTTATTATATATAATTTTCATTTATAGTTCAAATAGTTTAACAATTGGATCTTACATAAAATATTAATTTATATCTTATAATATTTCAATTTATTTCAAATAATAACTTTTTTTTGTTCAAATTAATATTTTCACTAATTGATGTAATATTTAATCACTTTTTTTTGAATTGTATATGTTCTTAATCTTAAAATAAAAAAAACGAGGCCTAAATCTCATTAAAAATGTTTCTCATTTTCCTGCCTACTTCTCGTAGTATTACACATCTCACCCTAAAGGAAAAAAGAAAAAAAGAAAGAAAAAATAGAAAGTGAGAAAAGAGCTCCGCCGCTAGGGCAAAGAAGCAAACTGGAGTTTCATCTCTCATCGTTGATTCGCTGAGGCATAGCCCATTTTGAATAGGAGAGAACGTAACAGGGGACAGACAGTTTTGGAGCAGATTATCTTAAAATGGCGAACGCTCTTGTAAACAGAGCAGCTACGGTGAATCAGGCCACAAGCTACTTTAGGCTCTCTTCCAGTTTCCTCAGAAATCTGAGCACTGCGACCCCTGCTAACAATCCTTCAACGACGTCGTCGGCCGATGGACCGAAGAAGCCCAAACGAAAGAAAAAGAAGAATCTTTTTGAGGTGGCTCAGTTTCTGCCTAATTGGGGTATTGGTTATCACATGGCCAAGACTCATTGGACCGGTGTCTCCTATGAAATTACAAAAATCAATCTTTATAAGGTACCTCTTCTTTTTCTGGAGAAGTAATAGTGTAATATGCATTGGCGTACATTTGGGTTTACTTTCTAGGGTTTAAGGGTTTATGTGTAATTTTTTTTAATTGGGTTTCATTTTGAGTTTGCAGGATGGTAGACATGGTAAGGCTTGGGGACTTGCTTATAAAGATGGTGAGTCATGGATTTACCGTTTCTTGAGCATTATAGATTGAAAATTGCATTTTGTTGGCTTTTAATGAAAAGTGTTGAGCTCTGAATTCCTCATTTGAATAATCTTAAGTGTTCAAAATTTGTCGGAAACTTTCTATGCCTTATGTCAAACAATGATGATCTGCAAACTATAGGCGATAACAAGTGTAACTATTATTAAGCAACTTATCCGTGTAGGATAAGTGGGAGACCTAGAGAACACCTATTTGCATTAAAAAAAATAGTATTATTTAGTAAGGGAATTAAATACATCTCAATAGAGCAGAATGGATATAGAGGATTTACATAGCAACTGATTTGGGAATGAGGTGTAGTATTTTTCTTGATGACCCGTAAAATTATGGTCTTTAATGCAAACAACCAGCTTTTCTCAGGGTTTAGTTTCCACATTTGTGTTACATGTATTAGCCGGTAACAACCATACGCAGTTGATAACTTTACCATATTGTTAATAGCTTCACTTATATCTTCAACTCTCTATCTGGAATATGCTTTCTATCAAAAATTGCCTCCCTCAAACAGGAATCATCTTGGTTTGTTTATATTTTAGCTATGATATTAGATGTTGCTCTCTGCTATTTATCAACAAACTGAGATTTCTTTCTTGTTTTTCACGCATCAATTGTAGCATCTTGTTGGCGCTTTTTTATGCAAAAACCTTTTTATGTCATCTAATCTGGTAGTCATGCTGTTGAGTTGGATTTTTGACAAGTCTTTTTGAAGAGTGAGTGGACATTGAGCTTGTATCGCACAAGAATTCCTGTATTAGCCTTTTTATTCTGAGAGTATGATGCTTTACCTATATTTTACAAATATCTAGTCGATGACAAGTACTCCTTCTATCCCAAAAAGGATGACATTTTATGAATTTCGAGAGTTAAACTTCTTAACTTTGACAATGAATTCGGAAATAGAACCGTCAAGTTTTTTTAAATAAAATTTATATATTTCGAAACTACATAAAAAGTATATAAGTCACAGTAATTGACAGTATAAAATATTTAAAAGGTATATGAATAAGTCATGGTCAAAGAACAACTAGTTTGACTCTCGAAATCCAAAAAAGTATCATCTTTTTTGGGACGGAGGGAGTATCAGTTTTATGGAGTTTAGCAAATGAAGGTTATCAAAAATAGAGTTTAGTAAATGAAAAGCAGGGATCTGTTCTATCTGGATTTTTGAATTTCATGTGAGTTTTAGCAAAAACTTAAGATCTTATTAGGAAGTGGATGAGGAAGGAACAGAGAGGACCAAATATGGTGAATGTGAATGCCTTGAGCTGTATTACATCTTATCAAAAGAAACGGATGTATATCACTTCTTATTGCATGACATATTGAGATAGAAATTGAGAAAAAGAAAACTGTGTCCTGTCTTGGTTCTCCTTTTACATTATAAAAAAAACGGAAAAGGGTCAAAAATACCCCTTTACTATGTGAAAAGGATCATTTATACCCTCCGTTATACTATTTGTCAATAATTGCCCCCGACGTTATAGAATTTGTATAAAAATACCCCTCCGCCGTTAGGGCCCTCCACCCTGGCCAATGCCATCCCACGTGGCTTGACATTTTGCAAAGGTGGAATCCACATGGGATGCCACATCAGGGCACCAACCCAATTTTACCTCCTTCCCCCAATTTTTCCTCCAATACCACCTTCCTCCTTCACCTAACCAGCTATATCGAATTTGGGGCTCAATCCGAGAAGAGAATGCATACTCATTTGGTTTACAAGCTGGATTTCCAGCAAAGAATGAGAAAAACGAACCCCAAGAGGAGTTGAACATAAAGCGAGAAGGGTCATTTCTGATTTAGATAAAGAGTCGGGATCAAGGTGAATGTTGGCAACTGATATGCCATCTTGCAAACCTTCTAATGACTGATTAATGAACATATAACTATATAAGAAGGATTTCATCTTTGAACTACCCCATTAAGGACAAAAATCAAGGTACCTTGAACCATGGACAAAAGAAAATCAAGCAGAGAACTTGGATGCAATATGTCATATACAAAAGGAATGTTTTGTGAGAGGCAATTCATCTGTTAAACCAAGATCTTGATACATTAACATGGTTTGTGGATGTTTTCCATTAATTAGCAGTAAATGAAAAGCAGGGATCTGTTCTATCTGGATTTTTGAATTTCATGTGAGTTTTAGCAAAAACTTAAGATCTTATTAGGAAGCGGATGAGGAAGGAACAGAGAGGACCAAATATGGTGAATGTGAATGCCTTGAGTTGTATTACATCTTATCAAAAGAAACGGATGTATATCACTTCTTATTGCTTGACATATTGAGATAGAAATTGAAAAAAAAAAAACTTTGTCCTGTCTTGGTTCTCCTTTTACATTATAAAAAAAAGGAAAAAAATAAGGCTCTCTTGCTTAAGCAGGGCCCAGCTCCAATTATTTGAGCAATATTGAGAATAACTAATTCTTTACCTGTGGTGAAAAGAAAAATATCTATGTACATAGTTTTGCATATGTTGTCAGAAGAAGATATGTGGATGCTTCTTAATGAACCCTTGGGTGGATTGTGGTATACTGACATTTGTTAATGCTGAGTCTGACAATACTCAATTAGAATTCTTAAAACCAAATACAATATCTAAACACTGTATGGCTCCACCACACGTAGCGTGACTCATCTTAACTCTAAAGGTTAGAAGCTTAACTTTCAGATATTAAAAATTGTATACAATTGTTCGCTCTGAGAGAGGTATATTATTCGTGGAGTGATGATAAAATTGTTGCTGTGAAATGGGCTAACACTAATCCTTTTCCCTGTTAGTTCAAAGTTAACAGATTTTTTCTGTCTGGGCTGTAGTGGAAGAGAAGGTAGGTCATAGTAATTAGTAAGGAAGTAAGTGTAAAAGCTGTGGTTAAAAAATTGTTCTCTAGATTCTTTCTGATGCAGTTTTTATTTTATATTTTGGGATGGGGGTTGGGGAGATCTTTTTAAGTGAAATTATTATTGCATGAAGATGAAGAGATAACAGAAAAAGTTTTGGGGTGTCAGTTTGAAAAGAAGATTTGCACCCAACTCAAGTAATAGCTGCTTGTTAGATAAATTATGGTCCTACTTTTAGACCTTACTCATTTTACGTATGATCCATGGGTTGGTTTTGGATTTCTTTTCCTGGATGCATCTCTTCGGTTTCTGGCATAGGAGTTTTTTAGAAATAGGGGTGGAAAGAAAGAAAGAGGAACTCCTATTATGTTCTTATCGCGAGGACCGCTAGTTGATTGCCTGTTTGCTGGTATATGCAGTCTAACAGCTCAATGGTTCATGTTGCATCCAGCTTTACCAGTAAAATATGGAACAAAGGACTAAGAGGAAATTAGTCCCAAGAGGGCTATTTAAATTCCATTACACGACAGACTTGCTAGTTTTATCTGACTATCCCACTTCCAAGTGATGATTTTTCTTTAGTTTCGTTTTATTGTCTCTCCAAGTCTTCCCAGATATTTGTATGACCTTAAAAATCATTCCTATTTACTCACTACTAATATTTCTGTCGTCAATGTTCGTCTTCTGCAAGTTATTAAAACAGTCTTCCATTCAGGTTTACCAATTGCTGACGCACCCAAGAAAATGAGTGGTGTACATAAGAGGTGTTGGAAGTACGTTGCAAATTTCAAGAAAGCTGAAGGAAGTCTTGATCAAATAAAGAAAGCTGAAGAAAGTACCCCAAATTCAGATGTTGAAGCTGCTTGAGGCAGTTTCCTTGATCTCATTAACTGCTTTAGCATTGGAATCTTCAAGGTCATTGCAGCTTCTTTTTGTTTGTGGTGGCATCGTGTTAATGAAGTAGCATTCAGTGAGCTTCAGTCTGTTGCCTTCTATCATGAAGTTATAGCACCTAGTTTGCCTTATTTTAGAAAGAACCGATGGAAATGTGGACTCATTTCAGAAACTAGCTCTTTTTAGTTTTTAATAATAGATATTTTTATTTGCTGCAGTTGCACCCTAATATTTATAATAGATATTTTTATTTGCTGCAGCTGCACCCTAATATTTCACTCCTTTGAAGTCCCAGCTTCATGAGAGAAAAAGAAAAGAAAGATTTGCTCTAGGTTCACCAAGTTTTCACGATCGTTCTTTTTCGAGCTTCTGGAGACTGTGCTCGAGTACAAAAGAGATGTTTTCTAATAATCTATGTTGCGAAGCTTGTAGTTGTCTTCAAGACCAAAATGTACCTCCAATACTCTACTGAATTATTTATTACAAGATTACCTGCCGGTTTTGAACAATGATGAGGATTGTGACTTAGGGTTATGATTTTCTTTTCTTTTATGTTTCTACATTACTTTGCAAGTAAAAACCGTCCATTCTCTTTGATGGTTTGTTACTACATAGTCTCCCACCAGTTCTTTTTAGTTTTAGAGCTGCATAAGCCACTTGTAGATCAGAGTATCCTGCTTCTGTATTTTTCTTTTATCACATGGTTAAACCTTATCGTACAGGTGGTATGACAAGATAACAAATATTTCAGTATTATAGTTGCACTCCTGCGCATTGAAAGTTCAACAGCATTGGTGTAAAACAAATCTCTAGTCCTCACAACTAGAGACGCTTCGATATACTGTTGACTATAATCTGGAGATTATTTTTTTGATCAGTAAACTATGAACTGGAGATCTTCTTGAAGTACGATATGTTGCCTTCAAATGCCATACATTCAAAATGTAGTAAATCTAAGACGCAGCATATCATTATTAAAGTTCTGTACCAAGGTAAATTTTCACTGTAACATGTAGACAAGGTAAATTTTCACTGTAACATGTAGACAAAGTGCTAAGACCTCCACTGCAACATGTAGACAAACTGCAGAAACTCATAAGCAGTATTTATATCATAAATAATTATTCTAGTGATCTTGGGAATTCTTCAACGGCATCAGAGCCTTTTTACGATGTCTTGGCCTTTGCCGGTGCTGGAAGCAACTGCACAAGGAAAATAAGACATCTCAATACACTCTCATTTTTTATAAGCTTTGTTCCTTTTGAAAAGACTTCTTGAAGTTGCGTTAATCTAAGGCATCCAAAACTTCTTATTTCGGCACGCTGCACAAATTTTTCTTCTTAAATTGTAAATTATTTCCACTTTTTTTTTATGAGTAATAAATTATTTCCACTTTAGTTGATAGTATCACTTGTAGCTTTAAGTAGACCAGGAGAAGATGAAAACGTAACTTGACATACAAAATTGATATATACCTGATAACATGATATCAACGAGGTAACAAATCCAAAGGCTCCTGTTACACGAGGAGTGACTTTCTTAGGTGCCAATTGCAGCAACCCAACAGCAACTACTATATCCATGCCTGCTTTAATCAGGGCTAGAGACCTCTCATTGGACTTCTGAAGCTTACTCCGGTATTGCTCATTCTACAATGCAAGATTCACAAACAACAGAATGTAGAATAATCTTCAAAGGGAAATTCCACAGTGCTACCAAATAACCATAATGCATGATGCCTGCAATTGGCAAACCTTATATTTGTCGGTATTCTTAAGTTCCTTCTCCAGTTTTTTCATTGATGCTGAAAGCATTGCGAGCTCCCCAATCTGCGGTAACATAAGTGTAAGACAAGCTATTGGCATAAAAGCAAACACTAGGAGCAATGATTAAGCACTAATTTCACATGCTAAATAGTAAGGTAAGAAATAACCTCCACTAAGGTAGTGCATATCGAGGAACCCATCCAACAAAAGAGAGAGATCCTGCCAATTAACTCGTGGCGTTCTTTGTTCTGTGTAAAACAAAACAAGAATGTTAGAACATTTTCCCTTCACTATCTTATCTCTAGAGAAACTGAACGACTACACAATACAAAAAAAAAAATTATTACCTTGTAAATGCCTGTCCTTCCAAGCCACACAATTTGATCCAGAAACAAGAAAGTTGACAGCAATGCATTTTTTGACTGAAATAACCAGCAGCATTGTTAGACAGGTAATACAAGAATAACGAAGAGACCACAAGAAGAGAGAGTTAGTGTTTACCTTTCCCAACAAGATGAGAGGAAGTGGGGTTCCTGGGGCAGTTGGGCTAATAAGACCATGCAGATCATTGATAAACTGTAGCAGAAACGGTTAAGACATAATAGATAATGTTGAACATAAATGCTATTATTATTATTATTATTATTATTATTATTATTACCACTCTTTAAAACAATAGAAATTACGGAAAAGGTCCTGAAATATCCCTTTACTATTAGAAATTGTTTAAAATTACCCTCTGTTATACTATTGGATCAGAAGAACCCTTGCCGTCTTACTATTCAAACACATATACCCCTTCTTTGACGCACGTGGCACGCATCCAAGGCTCTTGGTACACTTGGTCTTAAATTAAACTCGACCCGCCCCATTACCCAAGACCCAGAATCTAACCCTCTTCTTCTTCCACCTTATCCCCTCCATTCCCTTCTTCTTCCACCTTACTCCCTTTTCAATCTTGAATATTTGGCCAAAATTTTGCTAACATTATGAATTTATATAAACGACAAATAATGACATTTATCGAGTTCATTAAACTTATGAATCCCAAATTTCATGTGTAACAAAACAGATATATAGGTATTTCACCTTATAAATATATGCCAACAAAATTTTAGTTGGATAAAATTGATGGGCAACTCACAGGCCACAGCCTGTCTCAGTTTCTTCGATCGCCACTCATTCTTTTATAAACTGGTTTTCTTGTAAGGCAAAGATTGGTCTACTTTTCATCATGCATTTTTAGGCTTCTTTTGGATTTTCTTTTGGGTGTGATTTTGAAACAACTACTTTGAAATAAAATAACCGTCATGTTAAGTTGTAGTATATGATTTTAAATTTGTTTTTGGAAGATCAGTCATGAACTTGGTTTCTTAGAATTAGTATAAGTTTTTTACTTTCGTTTTTGATTTCCCAAAAAATAAAGAATTTAATTTCACCTTATTTATACTAACTACATATTAGTTCTTTTGGGTGTGGTCATGGAAGAAAAAAGGAATGGAGGGGATAAGGTGGAAGAAGAAGAGGGTTAGGTTATGGGTTCTGGGTCTTGGGTAATGGGGCGGGTCGAGTTTAATTTAAGACCAGATGTACCAAGAGCTTTGGATGCGTGCCACGTGTCCAGTCCGTCAAAGAAGGGGTATATGTATTTGAATAGTAAGACGGCAAGGGTTTTACTGATCCAATAGTATAACGGAGGGTAATTTTAAACAATTTTTAATAGTACCTTTTCCGTAGAAATTAATGGGTTAACATGAATTGTCCTAACCTTGAAAAGACGGAACACTTTCCTTGCTAAGCTAGTTGATTTGTCAACATTTTGTGCAGTGCCAGGCTCTCCATTACTCAGGAATTTTGAACCATATTGTATAGCCCTACATATCTTGTCCCTTGCCTCCGCTTTGTTCAAGTACAAGACTGCAAGGGCAAGCTCTGCTCTGGCAGCATCTAGGCTCATTTTACCGTATGAAAACTGCAAAATAAAAGGTTAACAGAATAAGAAAACTGGATATGTGATAGAAAGACAAGATACAGCACTAGCCAAACTGATTAATTCTCTAATCGACTACCATTTTGTAGGTTTTCCCAAGAAACATAACAAACTACGATGAATCCCTACAAATCCGGATGTGTAGAGTCTAGACTAGTCTAAGCATGTGTATGCCATTGCTTGCAGGTTTCCCTTTCAAAAAAACCGGGGGGTGGNACTAAGAAGAGTCAGATAAGAGTTCAAAAGCAACATGAGCAATCAAAAGAATCTGATAACCAAAGAAGTAGCATCAAACGGTGATGATGATGATGATTCGAAAGGAGGAGAACTACGAAACTAATGTTTACTGTTAGATGCACATCTCAATTTTCTTCATAAGAGTCTCATCACTCATGGTAAAAGAAGAAAAAGCACATTCTATGAACTAAGCAAATTGATGTTATTCCATAAAACTATGCTGGAAGGAGATTGCGTTTATTAGCAAATTTAACAATGAATACCATCTCCCTATGATCTTTTTATTTTGAATATCTCGAGTTGAGAATTACCCTCATTCAATCATTTTAGTGCCTAAAGCATGATTTCTGTGCTTAGTGCATAAGTAGTTCAGTAAGTCTACCATTGCTAAACGTGAAGGTGAAAGCTTGGCAGAAATGGGAGAGGACTTAGTCCATGTCTCATGGCCCTTAAAACAAATGAATGCATGAACAAAGTTGATTTAGATAATGGGGTAGTCATGTAGAAGGATGTTCATTGCGGTCTTTTTTATCAACTCACACATTGCATTTGTTCATAGCAATAAGGTTTCATGTTCTTATTTCTGTTTAACAACTCAATGCAAATTTGTGTTTCCAAGATTTTCTTTTGCAGTTCTCATTTCTCAACTCATTAATTTTTCCAAAAAATCAATTATAGCTTGTAGCACTCTCTCATCTCTAAATATAGGCTCTACCCAAACTTTCACAAGCCATTTTTTAATATATCTCATTGATCATCCCTCCATTACCATCCAAATATTTTTTCTCAGTATCACAAAAAACTTTTACTGGTTTGGCAAAAACGATGAACTGCAAACTCTTCGCCACAATTTTACATGCCTCCAAGTTCCCATGGTCATAATCATTGTATACAAATAAACTACTCAGGCTACATAAACGCAACCACAAAGGATGGCAAAAGAGGAACCATCAAACTATTCAGGAGCACAACCCAAACCCTTAACCTCCTCCGAAATCCTGGTCCTTATCAATTTTCACCAGCTCACATGCTTTTCAGATATTCATATCATTCCAAGTTCAGCTCAAAGATACTCAAAACAAAAGTTAAACTGGAAAATCCTAGACTCAACCGTAATTAACTTCCAATCAACAAACAAAAAATAGAAACGTATTCTTTATTTCAAGGGGATCAACAGAGATGCAGAAAGTTAATACAACAAATGGAACTCATAATTAACTAAAGATTCAATCTTTTTGTAGAAGTGAAGTACAACCCAGTAATTAAAGATTCATTAGAATCAGAAAGAATACTAAACTAAAAGCCAGCAATGTGAACTAATCAGTACTAAAAGATTCAATATTTTTGTAGAAGTAAACTAAAAGGCCAGCAATTAAAGGTTCAATAGAATCAGAAAAACTATAAAACTAAAACCCAGTAATTAAAGATTCAATAGAACCAGAAAGAATGTTCACCAATAATCAAGAATCCCATATTGGGACCGAACAAACTCAAGAAAAATACAATTCTGATTAACAGAAGAGAAAAAAGAATCAAAATTTTGATACCTGCTGAAGGGATTACAGCAAAGCAAGAGATAGGGTTCGTGAATTGAACAAAAAGAGAAATACCATTTTAAGCAGCAAAGTTTATATATATATATAAAAAAAAAGTGAGAGTTGGCTTACCGGGATTTGTGCCACAGTATTTTGCCTCGAAAGCCACAATAGCTAAGGAATAAAAAAAGGAAAGGAAATTATTGACGAGAGAGCTGTGTCTGAACTGTTTTTTCAATCTTGTAATCTCGGTTAAGATGATAGACTCGAGACTAAATTGCGTAAGGCGCTTTGTTGATAATGATAAGGGCTTGCTTGGTCCTCTCTTTTTTTTTCTCTAAACTTCAGCCCACCAAAAAAAAAAAAAAAAAATTGTTAATAATATTTATCATAAAAACGTATTCTTATAATTTATATAAAACTAGTACTACATATATCATAAGTTCTAGAGTACTTTTTATATATTTCGTTTTGTATCATGAGTTGGCTTTCTATTTTTATAAGTTGAGAGTTGCGAATTGTAGTGCACCGCAAAGATGACGGTTTTTGTTCAGTGGCGGATCCAGAATTTTAAAGTGATGGATGCTCGCCAATAAAAAATCCGAAAAAAGAGGAAAAAAAGTTTAGTTATGGGTGCTCACTCAATATTTATCTAACTATATTTATAATTGTCTATGCAAATTTACTAAATCCGGTTAAAAGTAATGGGTGCTCAAGCACCTATAAGTATCAATGTACATCCGCTACTGTTTTTGTTATAGGCTTAGCACTTAGGGCGTCAGCTGAGGTCTTTCTCCGGTAAGTAGGGGTGGGCATAGTTTGGACGAACCCGAAATTCAAATCAAAATTCAATTTTTTTGAATTTTTGGTTTGAATTTTCGGACTACAGATTAAATTTTGGATTTTGTATTTGATATTTCGGAATTTGGATATTCGAAAATCCGAAATTTTTGTACTTTATATTTAGTTAATTATTTATATGCCAGTTGTAATAAGTTCAACATCCTACCCATTAAATATTATCTTATATATTCAATATTAATTACTAAATTACTGTCATGATACTTTTATTTGGATATGATTTTACTGTAACTACTTCTTACCAGCTGTATTAACGTCTTTGTCATTTTCTTAATAATAATTTCATTGCTTGAATACTTTATTTGGATGATTGCGGTGACAATAAGGAACTTTTCAGGCAATTTAACATGAGTAGTTCATTTAAATATTTATTTTTTGTAAAAAAAAAAGAAAAGAAAAATTTAAACTTATAAGCTCAAAATCGAAAATTCAAAATATGCAAACCGATTAATTCGAAACCGACTTAAAAAATCTGATCCAATCCGAACTTATTTGGATTGGATTTGAATTGTCATTTCTTCAATCTGAAAACCAAAAATCCAATCCGAAATTTTTATACACTTCGAACTGCACGAACGCCTGCCCTACTGGTGGGCTCTACCAACAACTAGGAATATTAAAAATAAGAACTGAATACGATTACATTATGTAAAAAATACATTATCCGAGTTGTTATGTTGTATGTAAAAAGGAAGGAGCTGCCTAGGGCATTTCATTTTAATTGAATGTGTTGATAAATTACATGTTGTTGTTGTTTCCTGTAACTTCTTATAAATATGGAATGATGGAAGATCAAGTTTTTAACTTTTCCACTCTTAGATATATATTATCCTTTTTATCAGCTACCTACAACAGTAATATACGTAAATATAAATGATATAACTGAAACAAAAATTAATTCGAGCCCACTGGTGTTTCCTTAAGAAATTTAATCCCCTCCTAGTACCCAAGGTTATGGATTATTTCCTCCCAGGATAGAACGAATTACACACTGGTGTAGCGGTACTTCAAACCTCAGTATTTCAGCGAACGCAAAGTTCGGCAGCAAATCACACTTACAGTTGCTTTGTTTGTAGTTTTAAAACAATGCAGAACAAGGGAGGAGAACTCAGAAGTCGAATGAAAATTCTGAGAGGAAGGAATGTAATGTATAGCCGATGTTGAATTCTTACTGAAGAGGATATCAGATTGCAATTCGTTTTTCCAGTGTATACACAGTGTATACAGAGTGTAGTTTGAGTGTATACAGAGTGTATATCAATTATATACAGAGTGTATATCAATTGTATACTGAGTGTTTCGAGTGTTTTTTTTCCAGTGTGTTCTTCTTTCTCTACAAATTCTGCTCTATTTATAGCAGTCATTTGAGAAAAATCTGCCCCCTCCATGGTGGAACAAGCATTAGGATATCATGGAGGAAGTACTTACATGCTGGAATGAACACTTACTTGGTGGGAGGAGCACTTGGCCATGGTGGGAGGTGCACTAGGCATCTTGTTGCTTTCTTGGTGCAACACAATATACGGATTGGAAAACATCTGTTACAAACACGGATTATATCACGTTAATATTCACTATTAACAAATAAATTTGGTCCAAATAATTAATCAATCGATCGATCATTTGATCAAATCCAAATCCAAATCCCATTTCCCATTCACTTTCATTTTAAGACTACTTCATCTTAAACAAAAACTCAACAATCCAAAACTCAACAATCCCCCACATGAATGGGGAATGGCTATATCACGGAAGTATGCATGAAAAAACTTGTGTGATTTGCAAGCAAGAATTAATTGCATCTGGATAAGTAGGTTTCCCATTGAACTTTCCGTAGTGAACTTATGTCGGATATACTCGGTCAATCGGTAGATATGATATCTTTGAACCGTCGAACTTTAGTGTATACCTAGACAACCATAAGTCACACAATCAATCCCTTAACCGTCTTTGTTCTCATTGTTGTGTTCGTTTCAGCCATGAACACTGCCTGGTTTCATAAGTGCGTAGAGAATTGGCCTTGCAAGATTTTCCTTGAAGCGACTAACACTTCACACTTACATAGGTGATTCCTAAACGTGTCATCCCGTAGATACACTATTTGATATACC